CAGCCCCGGCACCTGCTGCACGGGGCTGGTGCGCAGCTGGCAGGCGCAGTGCCCCGCGGCGGAGGGGCCCAGGCGGTCCGGAGATGCGGGGTCCCGCTTGGTCTTTGGCTTAAGGAGCTCTTCCAAGAACTCGAGCTCGTACTGCTTCACCTTCTGCAGCTGAGCCTGCCGCTCGTCCGTCTCTCTCTTGAGCCGCGTCGGGAAGGTGGCAGAAATGAGGTTCTTGAGCCGGAAGGATGCCTTGGGCACTTTGGGCTTGGCTGGGAGGTCCGAGTCTGGCGGCGTGGCACCCGGAGCTTTCTCGGGCCTGTTGGAGAGCAGGCTCTCGGTCCGGGGGCCCGGGTGGACCTTCTCTTTCAGAGCCTTGCCCCCGGAGCTACTGAAGGCCTCCGGGCTCTTGGAAGGGGGGGAGCTTGGTTCGCTCACGTCGGCTCTGTGGCCGTCGGCCCCCGTGTTGCGTTGTCCTTTTTCCCCTTGGCTGGCGAGAACAGTCTCTCTCTGGCCAGCGGACCGGGCAGCCTCTCCCCAGCCTTTCTGACTGAGTTCCGTGGTCCCCGGCTGCCCCGCGTGCTCCGGCCTTCCCTTTGGCTGGCAGCTCTGGGCCGCCGCCTGCCTCTCCTCTCCTGCTGGTGGCAGAGGAGGAGGGACCGTCTCCGCTGGGCTGCCCTGGGGTCCTTGGCACCGCTGGCAGGCCTCGCTTGTTTGCTGCTTCTGAGAGCAGGGCACGCTGGGGGGCAGCCGGCCCACCGAGGCCATCCCTGAACAGCAAGGCTGGGGGCTGGCTTGCTGCCTGCTCCCAGGACCCCAGGGAGGAGCGCTGCCTTCAGCTGGGGAGGGCGCTGCTGCGGTGGGAGGGGGGGCTTTGTGGCCGACTTGCTGCAGAGCAGATGAAGCAAGGGCAGGGGCTGTCCCTTCGTCTGGATGGCCGTTGCCCAGGGCAGCAGCAGCAGTGGTGCGCAGGGTCGCTCCAGCAGCTGCCCCGTGGGGACTGGAGCTTTTGGGCTTGGGGCCTGCCAGCAAAAGGGCCCCTGTGGCGCTGAGTTCGCTGAGCTGCTGGGCGGGATAGCCTTTCCCCGCCTGCAGAAGCTCTCGCTTGCTTCTGGCGCAGGCAGGGTTGGGGGTTTGGTTCGAGGGAGCACCTGGCTCTGGGCGCTGAAGCGGCTCTTTCGCACCACCACTCTGAATGCGGAAAGGAAGATCCTTCCGGGCCAGGAGGCTTTCCCTGCTGAGGTGCTGGGTCAGGAAGAAGGCGGCATTCTGATGTTGCTTCATGGCGGAGACAATCTCTGTGACATCGGGGATCTCTGAGGAGGTGGTTTCATGGCCAGAGTCCATCGACGACTCAGGAGTGATGGCAGCGAGAACGATGAGGCCTGGAGAACGAGAGGCTGAGCATTAGAGTCAGGCAGAGGAAACCGCTCTCCCGCTGGAGGCAGTTCAAGCCATTGGATGACTTTGGACCGGTCACGGCCTCTCAGCCCAACTGACCAGTGGGAAAGGAATGAACGTAAGGAATAAATTAATGGGGGGAAAGTCATGACTTCAAAGACATTATCTCTGCAGCAAATGAGATGGGGCCTTGCAAGCATTGCTCCTCCTGTCCCGGGGGGGCAAGCGGGGTGCACTGCAGACAGGCCATAGCACGGGATGAGCTGTGTATGCTAACTGCTGCTGGATCTCCTGTCTTTTTGTAGGCCCAAGTCCTGGATCAGGGTTCAGAAGGATTCTCGCCGGGTGGTTGTCCGGGCTGCCAGCTCAAGTGCCCCTGTACGAGAAGCCAGTCAGAGGCTGCGGGGGGGGGGGGGGG